AATAAAAGAGGAGCGAAAGGGGAGTGGAGTTTGCAGGAGACAATTAATTCGCTTCATTGGTTCGTGACTCTCTGAGGCTCCTTGCCAGGTTTTGCAGATCTCGCCTTGGCAGCTCTCCAAGCCAGAGAAGGTCTGTGTCTGTAAATCCTCCCTTGAAAGACTTTGCTGGATGGGAATGAGCGGAATTCACAGCAAATCAATAAAAGGGACCAGGAGTTTGCTTCATGCTCTTGGGAATCCTGGGTCAGAACAGAGACAGCCCTCTGCCCCTGTGTTTGGAAGTGGGCCCTTCCAGATCTCAACCTATTTGAGGGTGGGATCCATCAAAAGTTAATCTTAAAAAATTAATATATGCAGAGATGTAGCTGCTAGTCCTACCGTCCTTATTATATGTGTTGTTACTGATCTCCTCCCGTTTCTTCGATCCGCAGCCTTTATCCTCGGCATCGTCAAGCTGGCACGTATGGACAATGCCAGTGTTTACATGGCCCTTTATGTTCTAGAGGTAAGCATCTCTTTAGCCATGCGCACCCGGAAGAGCCCACGGGGCACCTCCATGCGCAGAGGTCAGTGCTGGTTAGGGGGCTGGGAATGTTGGCTTCTTCCTGACTGCCCCAGGCAACTCCTGATTCCAGCCCTCTCACTGTGGGCAACTTCCCTTCTCCACTCAGGCCCTGACCGCGTCTTCCCAGGGGTTCCTGAACTGCGTGGTTTACGGCTGGACCCAGCACATGTTCCACTGTGTGAAACGCAAGGCTTGCCGTGATGTCAACACCCAGACGCCCCTCCTGCGTTCCCAGAAGAGGTTCTACGCCAGCACCCTCCCGGCCCGTTCCCAGGCGGTGGCTAAGCCCTCCTCTCCCGCCACAACCACCGTGTTGTGAACGGGAGACACGGAGCGTGTGAAACTCTCTTCTTGCTCACATTGAGAAGTGCGGCCGCCAAAACAGATCGAAGGCAGATGTGTGACATTAAAGAGCTGCCTTAGAAGGGCTGCAAGAGAATTCAAGTGCCATTGGACGGGAAGAAACCGAAGGAGTCCTTAGATTTAAATCGTCACTATTTATTTGAGGGAAATCAAACATTGGGGAGGGTGGAGAGGACTGCATTTTTAGACTGCATCGCATTCCCCCCCCCCATGAGAGAAAGTTTCCCCAGGGATACAGCATCACTGAGAACTTGGAATGTGTGGTGCCACCACCTTGGGAATTACCCTTTCATTTCAGTCCTGCTGGTGGAATATTTTACAACTTTCCTGCCAAACAGTAAAACGTACAAGGGTGTGGATGGATTTCTGTTCCTTTTGATTCCAGGATGGCCAGAAAGCACACCTTCCTTATCTTACTACTGTTTTAACACCTCCAAAAAAAATTATAATGGGATCCCAGCGGATCCCAATGTCACGGCTCCCCCACCCTCCAAAACTCCCGTCAAAACTGAAAAAACAGTTCTATCTCCCAGGAATCCTTTTCAATCCGCCCTAAGATCCCTTCACCCTCCTTGCAGAGATGGCTACGCTGAGCAGATGATCTTAACCAGCATTCTAAGATGAGATCTTATTTCAGGGAATCTTGTGGGGAGTCTCAACATCTTGCCGGAGGCCGTCTCATTCCTTTTTCTGTTGTTGTTTACAA